GCCGGCGAGCGACGGCATGGAAGCGGTTGGACCGGAGACGATCGGGCCGGCGGTGGTGGCGACGAGCGCGCCGGCGGTGGTGCCGGCCATGGCGAGAAGATGGGATCGGGCTCTGATACCAAGTTGGAAGAGATGGAATGTGTTTTGCCGTATATTGCCTCTTGGCATTCCATTCAATATATGGTTAGCATTACAACTTGTACAGCAAGGTAAATCTCTATGGGATCAATCTACAGGATTCTAGAATCACTACAAAAGCTATACGATCAGGATATGATACACATACGATCATATGCCATATATACATTAACAAAGAGATTTGTTGGTAAAAGACCATCTCTTAATTAATAGAAGGCGATCTCTTTTTTTCCTCATGTTTCCTCCACTCGTCGTCATTTATTACTAGAATGATGTGCGCTTTGTTGTGTCGTCCTTTAATCTTGAACTAAGCCTCCTTATTTTACCCAGGTTGTTACTATCGGCTGCTTCATTGTGTGATTCACCTGAGTTGGAGCGGATTTTTATTACATTTGTGTTATTATTTTCTTGATTGTGCTCTTATCCGATGGATATGGTATCTAGTGTGCTAGGTATACTAAATTATTACCTGCTTAACCGTGATGTCTTTTTTTTTACGAAACAGAGGCATAAGCTTTGCCCCCATCTATTGATGAAGGGGGGAAAGAGTTTTTGCTACGACAACACCCTTACAACCATGGATGATTACTCTCCCAAAATTATATTCCCTACCTTTTTAGCACCCGCTTTTACACGCAATACAGAAACTAACATACGGGGTGTCGCGTTTACCCGAAAGTAAACCCATTTACCCGAAAGTAGACCCAGACGTAGCACACATACATCGATTTACTCACTTACAAATGGGCCCACCAATGACCCCCAAACCCAACACATGAAATGCTAGTCTTGTAGAAGACTAGCCACAATGGATAGTAACATAGACTAGTAACATGTCTACCTCTATAGTGGAAAGTAACATATGTGTGTTAACATGCAATACTTCATTTATTAGGCTATAGACACATCTTATCTTGATATGTGTAATGTTACTCATAACTAGCTATGTTACCACTTTCCTCTCTTTCTTCATTTATTACTTGTCACATCATCTTTTTTATCTAGATATGTGTGATGTTACTACCTATGTTACTCCCACTGTGGGTAGTCGAAGTAGATACGTGACACTAAATTTTAAAAAAAATGGCATTTCACTAGACTGACAAAAATTGGCTGTCTGCTGAATAATGGCTTTATACTCTTTTTTTAGGTGAACAATGGCTTTATACTTTGTCTCCGCTGGATGGAGTAGCGACTGAAGAGAGCCGGAGACGGCACTTTTGGGCTTTAACGGGCTAGTGGCTGTTGCGGGCTTGCAACGCCGGCCTTAAATACTGGGAACGCACTCGTTGTCCAGCATGCATGCAAGCCAGGTCTCCATTCCATTCCATACCCATCCATCCGCATCCATCCTCGATCCAGCGCCCGCCCCCTCACGACACCCGCACCCCTCCCTACTCCGAGCCTCGCTCGAACCATTCCACACGCGCACGCACACGTACACCAATCGCAATCGACTCGCGCGCCTGCACGTTCGCTTCCCGCTCCACAAATCAAGAGCCAAGCACCACACTGGTTCCCGGCCATCTCATTCCATTCATCCATCCATCGCGCGCCTCCAGCAGCCTGCCCGCCCGCCCGTATGTGCCTGCTGCTCTCTGGTAGTACCAGCGGACCAACCAGCATGAGCAGGATCCACCCTTCCGATCGCGGCGACGGCGCCCGCCGCGCGGCGCGGACGGCGGCGGAGCGGCAGCAGCAGCTGCCGGCGGTGTACACGGTGTGGAAGAGGTCCAGCATGGGGTTCCAGGGCACCGACGGCTTCTCCGTCTACGACGCCGCCGGGAGGCTCGCCTTCCGCGTCGACAACTACGCCCGCCGCCCCAAGGCCTTCGCCGGCGAGCTGCTGCTCATGGACGGCCGCGGCGCCCCTCTCCTCTCCCTCAGGCCGCAGGTACGCATCATCACAACAACTTCTTCGCACGTAGAGCCATCAAACTTTGCGTCTGGCCGTTAACTCTTCTTACTCTCTGCTCGTGACAGATCTTTAGCCTGCACGACCGATGGAACTGCTACAGAGTTGCACCGGGAGAAGAAAGCTGCCCGGACACGGACAGGAGCTCCTCCGCGCAGCAGCTCTTCTCCATGCTGAAGTGCGCCGCTCTGCAGAGCACGGACGACGCAGAGGTCCACATGTCGTCGGCCTCGACGGCGACGACGTCAGGGCGCGGCTGCCGGGCTCCGCCCTCCCCTCCTCCCGGCTACCGCGTGGAGGGCTGCTTCTCCAGGAGGAGCTGCAAGATCACCAGGAGCGACGGCCAGGAGGCGGCACGGATACTGAGGAAGAAAGCCGGTGGACCTACGGCGTCGGCAGCGGCGCCGCCCAGGCCCGTCGCTCTCGGCGACGACGTGTTCAGCCTGGTCGTTCGGCCGGGCGTGGACGCCGCCACGGTCATGGCTATTGTCGTTGTCATGGACCGGATCTGCCGGAAGCCCTACGCACCAATGGCGTGCTCTTCACAGTAACCAATAGCTACTGTACTAGACGGTGCGCCCACGTCAGTCAAGAGTTTTCGTCCTTTCGTTGGATGAATCGGAGAACTGCGGCGTTGCATGAACGCCGCCCCACTTCCTGAAGACATTGTGATGTCGAAGAGCTGTTCTTTATCAGTTTTATTAGTGTGATTTTTAGTCATTTGTACGGGTTGTAAAATAGCGGTAGCATTACCGTCATGCCTCAAAGTGGCATTTGCTGTCATTTTGTAAGCTGATTTGAGCATCAAGTATCATGAAAATCGCTTCGATAAAATCTGGTCGAGTGCGTAAATATACTTACACGCACACTGTGACCTCAGGATGCCAATTCCATTTGCAGTGGAGTGGAGAAATTTAGTGGGATTAGTGGATACCCAAAGCACTAATGGAGTAATGGTTGCCTTTGTCGTGCATCTGCCGAAGGAGGAGGAGACCCACGCCACGTTCCAACCAACATGTTGGGGCAACCCAGCAGGCGAACAATGAATGGGCAAGCAACTGCGCCAAAGCGACGGCCCTAGTTGTTGGCATGCCAAGCCCTCCAGGACACACGACCACGACGGGGAGGAAATTACCTGGTGCAGGTTACCTAGTACGGAGGCAACGAATCCAACACTGACCACTCACCGCTTGGCAAAGACGCCAGCAGATGTGGCGAATTGCAATCCAGAGCACAGGGCAGAAATATTATTCTCCATCAGCACATCCTATCATGTCATGTGGCATCCAGCCAGGGGCATCCGGTGAGACAAAAGCTTTCTTTCCGCTGCCACAAGAACAAAGGTCCTCTTTGGCATACATACCAGGCACACAGCGTAAAAGATGAAAATGACCAAAGTCCACACCCAGAATATGCACAGGATGAAAGGGACAAAAGTTGCCCAGGCTCCGCAAGCGAATTCAGCCGCTACCTGAGCTTTCTTCCGCGACGCGTAAAGAAACCCGAAGTGCTGAAATTCAATCAATCAAATACCCGCAAAGGATCTACTGTCCTTCGGGACTAAGAAACGTGTTTTCCAGTTTGTCCATCGCAAGGAAATTTGATGCTACGATGCTTTACGAGAAGAAAAAACAAAGCCCCCCACAAAAAACAAAGCTCTAATCATGTTTTGTTCGCTCATTGTAATAGGGAGCGCAATCAAGTGGATCATGAAACAGCCAAGTTAGCTAGATTTTCTACCCCCGGTACCTGGATGGAGTCACCTCCGGTTGAGGTGGTCTCGTTTTATTGTATCTGATACGTTGGTTCTCACATATGAATAAATAAAGTATCGTTTGTCCAAAAAAAGGGAAAAACAAAGTCCTCCGGAAAAACAAAGCTTTAAACAGTCGGTTTTCTTGTATGCACAAGGTAGGCTCAACTTACGACAGGTTGAGTGGATTTAAGACTGAACTGTTTTGCTAATAAACATTTTATAACAGTGAAGAGTCCACTTTCGGCAAAGCACAAGCTAAATGCTTAGCCGTCTCAGGGAATATAACTTTAGGCCATAAGCACTTAATCGCATACTCTTCCCGTCCCCATCAGGAATATGTTAAAATGAGTATTACAAATTAGTTTTGCTGATGCTGTGCAATGTATCAGCTGTAACATCTTAGGCTTTAAAATGAGCAGAATACTCCCACCCAAATAAACTATATCACCTCTGTGCGGTATAACCCTTAATGCACTTTCCAAAGTAATATGGAGAAAAATTGGCTTTGGCTAACTTAAATGGTACAGATAATGTCAAGCCAAGGTGTAAACTGAAACTAAATGATGCGTCCGGTTCGTTGATATTAATTCCTGATGCCAGTTTAGAATTGCAACTCTTAGTATATCCTTGGAACAATCTGCAAGACGCCTAGTTCAGTGTCGTCCACATATTAAAAGATCATGCTAGGTCCATGCTAGCGCTGTTGCCTATAGTATGGTCATTACTGATAATAGCAGATTTCATGATCACAAACACAAGACAAATAATGCATTTTGGGTTGAGAAGTAAAACAGCTAATGCTCCATGCCTAGGAAGCTATTACACCCCAGCAATGGAATGTCTAAACACCATATATCATTTTGCTATAATCTAGCCACTATCTTGTGCATCTCATAAATAAATACTTTGCCCAGAATACTTTTTTCATGTATTGAACCCTGCAAACTAAGAAACTACGCAGGAATTGTAAGGCTCGGATGCCTGTGTGTTTTCATGCATGTTTGGGATCAATATACTACATAAGTAAGCCACCACCTCAGACTCGTCAGTTGAGACTCGACATCACCAGGTCAGTGGAAAATAAAATATTCATTGCTACTCTTGAAAAACAATGCAGAACAAACAGTCCAGAAGTTTATTTCTGTGAAAACACTAAGTGAAAAATTAGAAAACGGTTTGTAAGAAATACATCTAGGAGAAAAGAGCACGGTACTCGTTAGCCTCATGACTCATTTCTTCCATGGTTCTATCTTTTCTTTCAACATCCAGATCAAGCTTTTCCTTCATTTCTTTTTCTTTCACATCTATCTGTTACAAAGAAAAATGGTACTAGGATTTAATGAAAAAAATCATAAGAAGTTATATGGATGGAAAAACGGGTGGTAAACGAACCGCGTCATATATTTCATCATTATTTTCGAAATCTCCCTTCTTCCTGGGGATCACATGGATGTGGACGTGCGGGACTGTTTGGCCAGCTTGAGGACCATCCTGTACCAAAAAGCTATCAATAAGGAAATGCTTCTTTTTCATTCATAGGTTATTAGTTAAAGGTAAAAGGGGGAAAGGTAATCAAATCAGCAGCAGATCTGGAGTACAAGTCCAAAGAACAGACAGGAACCTCATATGGCAGTGTAAGTGTAATTTAGGTGATTAGCCTGATCTATTTTGTTCTGGACCCCAGTAGCAGCATCCAAACATCATGAGCTTTCAATTGGATGAACTAATTATATAAATTTGGAAGCATAAGCTATTAGTACATATATAGAGAGAAAGAGAGTTGACCTGAATCGCAAATGTAAGCGAAGAAGCTTTGTGGTACTGCTCAAGCCGTACACCAACTTCCTTTGCAGTGACCCATAAATCACTTGTCTCATCAGTACTTAGATCAGTAAAGCGTTTCACTTCACGCTTGGGGCACACAAGGACATGTATGTTTTGTTAAGGAAAAAATATGTATAACCAAACTATACAATGTAAGTAGACGTTTTACAGTTTGAAGTTTGAACTATGAAAGCTGTGAACCACAGGACAGCAAACGGGGTAATAATGGATAGCTACCTCGGGTTAAAGTATTATACCATCAGTATATGTAGCACAGTAAATGTTGCAGTATGAGTACATTTCCTGCCTTTCCTCGAGAGGCTAAGCTTTTTGGGTGAACTTGTCGGTGCAGAAAGTGATGGGCATAATAGTAAACATAATATTTCATAAAAAGATGACACTATCATCACTCACGAGTCCATCAAGTATAAACAGATTCCAGCAAGAGATAACCATTTGGCTATTTTTATATGAACCATTCACTTATATAAATAGCTAACCCTAGCATAAATTTCTTGACATCCTTTATATTCAGATTTACATTAGCCATGCATTTTTAGAGATCAGTGCAGAATGAAAGAGTGATATACCATACAAATTTCATTCTTTTGATTCTGATCTGTGCTTTCTGTATGTGTCTGAACCTTGGACACTCTTCAGAAACAAGTGAAACAAAGTGTATGAACAGTCTGACAACAAACGAGATTCCAGGCTTGCCGGCAGTGTTTAACTGTAAATCCTGGCGACGAGTATGCCAAAACAAAGGATATGACCTGCAGTGTAAGATTGGGACATGTCAATATAGCACAAATAGTATATCCGCGATCTATAAAGTCGTAATCATAAATAGCTGCTATACTACAAATACATACAATGTTAGTACAACATCGTCAGGGTTTAAATGTCATTGTGCTACTCCGACGACATAGCTGATAATAGTGAGCCAGACTTGCGATTATTCACTGCACCAAGTATTACAAAATTGTCCGAAAAAAATTGTGCTAGCGCTGGAAACCTAATGTGTGATTTATAATCTACTCCCTCTGTAAACTAATATAAGAGCGTTTAGATCACTATCTAAACGCTCTTATATTAGTTTACAGAGGGAGTACCATCAACCGCATTGGCATCTCCGTCAGACAAAAAAATTATAGAATCACAAACAATTCCTAGAAATACACTGTGATTCTGAGGTGAGGTGGAAGTGAAAATTGAACATAAATTAGGCAAGGGAAAGTTGGGGCAATCATAGAGATGTTTACCAGGGAGGAGGGGGCGTAGGTTGACCATGGCGTATGAGAGGGGCGTGGCGTGGAAGACCTCCCTCGCGTCGATCCTGTAGGGCCCGAACTTGTACGCCGACGCCTCCATCTCCGGCGACGGCGGAGATGACAAGGAGGAGGTGGCCCGCAGCCAAGTCCGGCGGCGAAGGGTGGCCGTACGAGGCGGCGGGGTCAGAGGGAGGAGGAGGGCACGCGAGCGCAGGGCGGAGCACAACCCAAGCAGCATCAGCAGCAGGCAACAGTTTTTTTTTTTTTTTTTTGAGGCTAAAACACACGCTTTATTACTCAAGAATGTTCTGAGGAATACATCTCAAGTTTGGAGGTTGGAGCAGCCAAACATGGCGACCAATAGACAGACTAAGCGCGTATTTAGCAGAGTAGAGGGGAAGGTGATAGCTGTGGGCCTTTGTTGCCCATGTTAGCCCATCTTAGTAGCGGCTGGGCTGCGAACAGCCAAGGCCCGCAGCCAAATTCATACCCCCTCCATCTCATCATATAAGAATTTTTGAATATTTTTGATACTACACTAGTGTAGGTAGATTTCAAAAGTTTCGATAAATCTAGTTTTTGTTCAATCTTGTATGTTCATACATCTGACTTTCGTCGTAAACTAGACAAACCAACGGCAAAGATAGGATAATGTTGCTCCTCAGATTACACGGAAATAACTTTGTTGGTCTTCGTCAAGGGGCAGACGCACCAGTGTATGAATTACAAATACAACTACATTTTGTCATTGAAGTTAATGAAATAATGTTCTTGTATTTTGTTGAAACAAAGTTAGTCGCTCAGTGATACCAACATACATTATGGGTGTATTCAAGTTGCCCCTTTCTGGGTGTGACCTGTCAGGGCTAGTTTGTAATTTTTGGTGGGGTTCAAAGAAAGATAAAAGGGATGTCTTGAGAAAATATAAGTAAGCCAAACTGCAAGGGAGGACTAGGGTTCTGTGGCTTCTTCCTGATTCACCAAACCTTGCTCGCAAAGGCAAGCTTGGCGGCTCCTAACTTGGCCGGACTCGTTGTATGCCATGGTCTTCCAAGTGAAGTACTATCCTAACGGTGTTTATGAAGACACTAATTTTGCAAGGACCGCATCATCGACATGGTACATTATTCATCATGGCCCGACCCTCCTAAAAAAGGGTATTGTATGACGCGTCAACAATGACAAACAAGTTACAACCTGGAAGGATCCATGGCAACCTCGACCTACCTTCTACAAACTGGTGTCGCTGCGCTGCACCTGCTGCCTTAGGTGACTAGCAGAGCCTTGGACGAGCACGGGAGGTGGAACATCAATCTTACCTGACAAGACTTTCTCCTGATGGATATGGAAATCATTCAATAATAAAGCCGTCGTGACCTCGACTCTATGATGTCCTTGCATGGGCTTCATATCTCAAGGAGAACTTTAACATATGCAACACCTAATGCCTTGCTCATGATGAGCTTACCTCCATGTCCATGTGCGCCATGAGCAAGGCACCGGATGACACACGTGTTGCCATCTCCCAAGGTACGAGTATTTGTGTGGCATCTCGTCACTAACTCACTAGCTATGATAGAAAATAAAGTTCAAAGAAACATCATGGTATCTCATGAATGTGTTGAGACTATAGAAAACAAAGTTCAAAGAAACACCACGGTATCTCATGAATGTGTTGGGAGGAATGATGACACATTCCATGTATTTTGCAAATATATAATGGCACAGGGGATATGGCGTGTGATGAGCAAGCACCTGAGCATGCCAAGGTTGGAGGTGATCAAGAACATGGGGGCATCAATGGCTCCTGCACCTATACTACATCAATGCACCGATGATGACCGACTACTTGTCGTGATGACGTTGTGGTGGACTTGGCACCTATGCAACGAGGTGATTAATGACAAATTGTTGCCATCAATTGTTGCTTCGAGAATTTTCTTGAACATGTTACATCGACTCCTTGTTATGCATCAAGCAACACCTTAGGCTCGACATGAAGAAGGAAAAGATTGTCTTATACTATGAGCAAGACTGGCGCAAATGTGTGACCAGGCCCCTGGTTGCACCCTGTGCTAAAACTCTAGTGCGTTGGAGCTGATTGGGTTGGAACAAGCTAAACATCGATGGTTTCTTGAGAGAGGAGGACGAAATGGGCGGTGTGGGTATGATCTTGAGAAACAAAGTGGGCAACATCAACTTTGCCTCCTGCCATTTCATGTCAATCTGCTCGAGCGCGCTAGAAGCTGAGATTGCTACATGCATGCACGGAAGGAGCCAAGAAAAATGTATGAGGGGGCCTATTGTTGTTGTGCCAATGTCGTGGAGGACTAGTGCCATTAGAATACAATACCCCATCCTTCTATAGATGAGGAGGCCTACTACTCGCACTGTAGTTTGGCTCCAACATGTACTAGATGAGATTGGCAAGTTGTGCAAGATGGCTGTATAAAAACTCCTTAATCAACGAAAATTATCATTCACAAAAACAAAAAATACAATATCATTGTCAGTTGGTGCCAGGCACCCCTTCAAGTTTAGGTATATGAACAATCACATCCAAGAAGTAGACTTTCATACAATTTTCTCCACTACTATTAAACAATTAAACAAGAACTTTCTTATGTGCACCCCATAAAATGTACACGGATTCATTATGACCGCATGATTAAGCCCACTAAACTTAATCTAGCGGCTAACCTTAACCTAATCCATTCTCTGTGTGCAATTAACAATTTACATTGACTGACCGTGCTTCACCATATGAAACTCCACGTCCGATCAATTAGGAAACTATAATCATGATCGCGTCTTCTTAGAAAACTAATCACGATCACATCTTCTTAGGAAACTAATCACGATCATGTTTTATTAGGAAACTAATCATTATCGCGTTTTATTAGAAAACTGATCAAGACCGCATTTTATTATCTCCACTACTATTAAACAATTAAACAAGAACTTTCTTACGTGCACCCCATAAAACGTACACGGATTCATTATAACCGCATGATTAAGCCCACTAAACTTAATCTAGCGGCTAGCCTTAACCTAATTCATTCTGTGTGTGCACTTAACAATTTACATTGACTGACTGTGCTTCACCATATGAAACTCCATGTCTGATCAATTAGGAAACTATAATCATGATCGCGTCTTCTTAGGAAACTAATCACGATCACATCTTCTTAGAAAACTAATCACGATCGTGTTTTATTAGGAAACTAATCATAATCGCATTTTATTAGGAAACAGATCACGATCGCATTCTATCTCCACTACTATTAAACAATCAAACAAGAACTTTCTTACGTGCACCCCATAAAACATACACGGATTCATTATGACCGCATGATTAAGCCCACTAAACTTAATCTAACGGCTAGCCTTAACCTAATTCATTCTCTGTGTGCACTTAACAATTTACATTGACTGACCGTGCTTCACCATATGAAACTCCACGTCCGATCAATTAGGAAACTATAATCATGATCGCGTCTTCTTAGAAAAATAATCACGATTGCATCTTCTTAGGAAACTAATTACGACCGTGTTTTATTAGGAAACTAATCATGATCGCGTTTTATTAGGAAACTGATCACGACCGCATTTTATTATCTCCACTACTATTAAACAATTAAACAAGAACTTTCTTACGTGCACCCCATAAAATGTACACGGATTCATTATGACCGCATGATTAAGCCCACTAAACTTAATCTAGCTGCTAACCTTAACCTAATCCATTCTCTGTGTGCACTTAACAATTTACATTGACTGACCGTGCTTCACCATATGAAACTCCATGTCCGATCAATTAGGAAACTATAATCATGATCGCGTCTTCTTAGGAAACTAATCACGATCACATCTTCTTAGGAAACTAATCACGATCGTGTTTTATTAGGAAACTAATCATGATCGCGTTTTATTAGGAAACTGATCACGATCGCATTTTATTAGGAAACTAATCGGGTATTCGCACACATTGACACGCCCATCACCTCGACCTCCTAGATCACGATCCTATCTCTCCCAAGAAAAAACACCACAACCGACCTCCACTTGGCATGGCGACAAGGAGCCGAGGACCAACAACTCCTTCTCAGGGGACGCCGCCGGAGTGCCGGTAATTCGTGAACCGCCGAGGGTGCCGCACCGGTCGCCCCTTCTTAGGGGATGCCGCTGGAGTGCCGGTAATTTATGTTGCTTGTAAGACAACTGCCCAGCCATCATTTATGGTTTCTTGCGAACTTACACGGCGTGCCTGTCCTGACTTGTATACTTCAAAATAAGGTTTCTATGCATTACTAACCAGAGTGTGCTATCTTTATATCTTCGGTGTTTCTTAGCAGATATCGTTTACATGTGTCATCAACACATTATTTGTCTTTTCTTAATTTGTAACACTTGTACTGCTGGAGTTGATTTATTTTAAGTTGTTACATTTGGAACTCCTTTCACTTCATAAAGGGGCTGGATGGTCTAAATTGCAAGATGTGATTTTTTTTCTCACATGAACCATCTATAAATAAATATATATTTTTACTATTCTTCTACGTATAAATACTTTGAGGTCCTTTCGCTGTTCATTCGGTTAGTGGTTAGGAACTAATGACCATCAAATTATTTTTTATTGTTTGATAGTATTACACACAAGTGGGTGTAAACAAAAACTATCAAAAATGGTCATGACTTGCATTTTTTTCTTATTTTCTACAACTGGTGCTTCTCCATATGTCTCCATTGTGTTCCGGGATGTTATTTTGTACTATTGTTTTCCTATGTCTACCCTTGTATTTATTCAGTGCATTGTTCTTTTTGCATTTTGGCATGAAAGCTTGCTGGCTTGGAGCATGATGAATACAGATGAAAGAGGGAAAACATTGTAGAATTGTATATGTTGCTTGCCAAGTTTAGCTTTGGATTTTTAGTGCTTTGACACTTCGTGCAGAATGAACTAAACATTTACATGTCAAGAGCATCTTGATGCATATAAAGAGTAAACGGAGGCATGAAATAACGAGTTGTATGGGTTGATTTATACTCTCCAGTTTTATGTATGTTTGTGACTGTGTGTACCAGACATGAACATTCATCGTTTTATGCGTTGTCAAGCTTTCCTATACGCCATGAGACGCAAAGCAACCTTTTATCTATCACATGTTGGCATCTACTTGAAATGCAACCAATAATTATATGTGCGTTGCACGTGCACACTTACTAGTATGGTATAAT